TCTTTTAATTATACATCATCTATAGTACATCTACACAGAGTGTAGAAATATATTCGTATAATATACCAACGATTGTTCGAATCGCACGTAATCGAGTTAATTGGATACTATAATGGATACGTTTGCGGACGATAAAACAGCAATGTTCATACTTGTTCTTTTCTTTCTCTTTCGGTTTCACTCAGCAGCTGTTCCGACTGCGACAGCGCATAACGTGCGCGACACTAGAACGCAGTGTGTCGCGTCGGCTCGTGTCTCGTCGCGTCGCGTCGCCCGTTTTTTACAAAACTGAATTGCTAGTTGTCTTTCTAGAGACACGCTGTGTCACAGTCGTTTCGCCAGCCATTCCGAGTAATTTTAGCAGCTGGTCGCCTCTGCTGGCGCCTCTGTGTCTCTCCGACGACACACACACACATGTACTCGCAATCTCTCTCCGTCTCTTTCTTCCCCGATTCCACCATCAACAATGACGCGAGTATAACAACCACGACGCGAATTCGATTCGAACAACCAAACGAATAATGACAATGTGTAAGAAAGCCGTCTTTTCCTATCGTCTATATTTTTATCGAGACACGATCGATTTGCATCCTCTCGTATCAGACTCTATGCAATTTTCGTCCATGAGTTGAATTGAAAAGTGAAAAATGAAAAACGAAAGGTTGATTTGATCGTTTGATCGAAACGTTTGACGTTTAACGAGAAACGCTTACGCTTTGTATTACAATGTGTGCGTGTGCGCGCGCGCGTGTGTGTGTGTGTGTGATGGATCGTCATAAAAATATCATGAAAACAACCATTTGGAAGCGACCTAGAAATTTGTTATTTCATGTACATTTCATATAATTTGTGCATTATTTACAAAATTATTTATGTACAATTGTTTCTGTTCACAACAATGACGCGATATTATTCGATTTCAGGTGAATCGATGAATATGCTTTTCTATTCTCTTCAGATAAATCCATTTCCCATGCGAATGAATGTACTACTACACTCGACTTGTTATTATCATCGTCGTGATTTGAATGACAACGTGCACAACAATAATGATCACGTTATTATTACGTTAGTCGTGTAGCTTTGTACGATCGATGGGTTAACTCGCGTACTTTCTCGTATCCGTTTATCCGCTTACTTCTATCAAACTACTTCATCTCCAATGGATAGATCAACGCCGCCAGTGTCATCGCGTTGTTTGTTGTTGTTGTTGTTGTTGTTTATAAGAACAGTCATGTTCGCGTTGCTGTCTGCCAAGCAGACGGGTTTCTTGCGACGCGCGAATACAACAATCTTCCCGTAAACGTTCATCGAATCTTTTCCGCTGCTCTCGTTGTTGTTACTACGATTTATACTTTTCTCCAAATCATGTTCTTTCAATTCCATTTCATTCCTTGATGATTCTTCTCTCTTCCCTGTACGTACTTTGTCTACACGCTCTTCTCCTCCCAACGTTCTTCTTCTCACCATTTCCATCGCAATGCTTGCATTCTCGTTCTCGTCGCGATCGCAATCAATGTTCCCAATATCGTCAGCACCAGCAGTCGCTTTCCTCGCGTTATTCTTTTCCGTTTGCCATTCCGTGTTATTCGAGACCGTTTCCAGCTTTAGGCTCGACTCTTCCATCTTCAATCTTTGATTTTCGTTCGACGTGGCGACGTTGCTGACGTCGTCGTTATCCGTGATTTGAAGATTTTCGACAAACGACATCACAGCGTCGTCGGACGAAGCATTCGGGGCGTTTGCGTTTCCTTGCATTTCCACTTTTTCCTCTTTTATCGAGCCCGACTGTGAATTATCAATAAAAGCGTTGGCGTTGGCGTTGGCGTTGGCGTTCGACGTTCCTGACACGTTCTCGAGCGCTTTGTTGTCGCGCGTGAAAACAGAACTGCGAATAAAGTTTTCAATGTTTTCGACGCTTTCGATGTTTTTGGAAATGTTTTTTTCGCCGGGAAAACACGCGACGTTGGTATCTAAGATTGGAATTGTTCGCGGAACATTGTCGCCAGATGCTTCCCATCTCTCCGTTTCGTTTCTCGCAGTTCCAATTCTCTTTATCGACGTGTCGTTCGCTGCGTTCAAAGAAGCATCTTCTTCTGCCGCACGTGGTCCCACGTCGCACGTCATGTCATCTCTCGACGAATTTCTATTTCGCCTGTCTGACAACATTTCATCGCCTTCCAAACTTATCGACCGATTCTTTAATTCCTTTCCGCCGTGTTTCCGCCGATTGTTAATTCCTGAATTACCAATTCCCAGAGCATTTGCCGCTTCTTCTGTAGTGGATCCACTGTTTCTTTTTCCATCGATCTCTTTCGCGACCTGGCCATATCTTGCATGCTCCGTATCCAAATTTTCCGCGTCAAAGTTGCGACGCGAACATTCGCCTTGTTGTTCGCCTTCTTGTTCTGTTCTACTCTCCTCGTGTCGTCTGATCGACTTAACGATATTCCGTATTTTTCGTGCTCGTTCGTGCTCGTTCGTGTGCCGACATTCGGCCTTTCTTATCTCGTCGAATCTCCTCTGATCCGTTGACGTTCGATCAATGGTGGTAGAACGCTTCGTTTGCCTGTCGTCGTTGTACGAATCTTTTTTACAAATTTTCGATTTATTTGCCGCGCCATTATTCCGAAGATTACAATTACGTTCCTCCACCAGCTTTGATCCACCATCGTGATCGCTGTTCTTGCTGTGATACTGACTCCTGTGGTATTTCTCCTCTCGATACAACGTTGATTTCGCACGCGACGGTCGATGATCATCCGTGCGATGATAGTCCCTTTGTTTATCTCTACTGCCACGATGCTCGCTGTGACCGTGTCGATGGAAACTATCTTTCTCGTAGACCTCGACGCAACGATAACTCGTGTCTTTCTTCTTGTCTGAAATAGATGTTGAACTTTGGGCAGACTTCTCACGTCGTTTCAACAAACGATCGTTCGTGTCTGTGTGTTTGTTCTTCGCGTCTCTCTTCTCGTCTGCTTTATTCGCATCGTGAATTCGCACGTTGAAGCATCCGTGTTTCTTCAGTTCCATGTTGCTCCAAGTACGAGCGTATTCCGAATACTTTTTGTCGCGACCTTTTTCATTGGGACAAAAGTCGGAGAATCCAAAGTCGCTGTAACGAGGGAATGCCGATGACTTCTCCTTGGATTCGGAGAACACTATGTTTATATTATTATCCGTTTCTTTCTTTGTTGCTTCGAAGCTGCTACTTTCTTTCTCTCTGCTAGATTTTACTCGTTTCACGTGAACGTGCCCATTCCCTTCTTCGTTTGCTCTTCTTTTCCCCGTGTAGGTGGCCGACGTTTTCGGTTTTCTTTGAAACGTAGAGCTCGTCTCGTTTTTATCGTTCGACCGGACATCTTTTGGACATCTTTCAGGACTTTCCGAACCTGCCAACAGATTTTCACTCCCTTTGTGTTGTGCAGTCGCGGAAGCTTGCATCTCCTTTGTATTTATATTTGTATCAAAGTTAGTAGTGTCGCGCGAAGAACCATTCTCTTTGTCGCTTTCAACTGTATATCCTGTGTTGTTCTTATCGTCGTTCTTATCACTGTTTGTTATCAACTTGTTCGATTTATCTTTCTTTTCCAAATTCTGTTCGTCCGTCATTCTTTTGAGCAATCGTTCGCCGAAAACGGTAATTGGAACTAAGGTGGATTTGTTTTGTTGATCTTTGCTCTGATTAGACAAACTAGTTGCCACCGACGACGTTTCGCCACTCTTTTCGTCAGCAGAAAAGCAAATGTCGATTGATTTTTGATGTGTATTTGTATTTGCAACGGTCCTGCAAAAGCTGGATTTACGTGTAACATGTTCGTTAGAGTACGAACTCTTTCTGAACGTTGCATCATCTAATCTGCAATAATCGTCGTATGAAATCGTATCGTATCATTTTTTATTTAAACGACAGGAAATTATCAATTGGATCTACTTACCTTTTTCTCAACTCGTCGATCGTCTTATCCTTCCGTGCAATTTCTGCTTTTGCAGTTTTCAACAACGAGAATAAATTAATTTCTAAACTTTTATTCACCATTTGAGAATTCTCCAATTTCGCCGTAAGTTCTGCAATCTGCTTTTTCAGCTCCGATTGTTTCTCCGCGATGTTTTCCTCGTTATTTGATACAAACTAAAACAGCGTGATACAGAATTACACTTGCACGTACAGTTTGCAGCCGTATATTTTATATACGAATGTAAAAATCACAACATAACCTAAAACTGTAAAGCCCAATCCGATTGCTCGATGCTTACGTTTTTACTAAACTCTGGTCCAAAGTCTGGCAAATCTCCATAAATATCAATGTCATCCTCCATGCTTTTCATTAATTCCTGATAATAAAGTTCATTTCATTGAAAACGCATATTCGACTATTGACATAATTTTCCCACTTTTGTGTCACGAACGGCAATCTTACACGCAATGTAGGCATTTACTATAATGTAGAAAGGATACGTCTCTGGTGTCATAATCTTTTTATATTTGTTAATCACTGTGAAATAAATATGCCAGTGTGGAACGTCGATGTCGGTGAACAACGAATGATAAACTTATCAATGACCCTGAATGACGAACGATGAATAGCAAACGGTAAACGGTAAACAGTGAACAGTGAACAGTGAACAGTGAACAATGGACACAAGTTACAACCTTGTAAAATATACTTTTGAATATTCTTGAGGGATTGATATCTCTTATTCTGCACGCTCTTTCCTTCGTACCTTTTACGTTGGATTTTATTCGAAAAAAGAGATTACAACTTGCGTGCAAAATATTAATAATAAGTTACGTGTGAAATGTTGTCATCGTTCGTATTTCGAAGAGACGCGATGAGGCGACATCTATTGGTAACTTGCGATTGCGATTGCATTGTTAAACCTTTTATTAAAGAAAAGTTCAAGTCTAGGTTCAAAAACGAGCCACTTTACCTCTCCTTTTGCTAGCTTTCATCGACGAATTGTTAAATCTATTCTTCAAATTTCTTGACTTGTGTACTTCTATGGTGCATGTATCTTTCACGCGTCGAAACGATCACACACGTCGCATCTAAGTGTTTATCTGTTTATGCTTCGGTTACTTTTGTTGATTAAATCAACATTTTGAGATTTATATCGGTCATGCATGTACGTACACTCGTGTGAGGTTTAACGTCAGAGGTTTAAATATATGACACGTTTGTCAAACGAGATGTACAGGTCACGACCGAGATTAGCAAAATCGTATTAGCCGTGATGTGACGAAACAAAGAATACAAGAAACGTTCCAGCAGCCATAAATAACGAAAGATAAAAGAAGAAACCTACTTCTGTTTCGTTCCATGGAGACAAAAAAAAAAATAGACTATATATAGAGGGAGAAAGATCATTTTCTTCGTCTTCTTTGCGTGGATTTTTATCAGATGCAGATACATTGATCGTTTGAAAATTTAAATACTAATTGTAATCACTAGAAACAGTTTTGCGAGTTTGTGCAAAGATTCCGCAAAGAATCCGCGGTTAAACACGATCGGTGTAGTCGAAATTGTTGTACAACGAGTAGAAATCCATTTGATAAATGGATGACAAAGAATACGACAACGTCGATAACAATTTGAAACTAAAGTAAATAGAAATTAAGGAATAGACAAAGGACGAGGTAGAAAGAATTTTCATACATGATCGTTACGTAAGAAGTGTATAGTCGTAACTTTTATAAACTTTTTTTAAAAGTTTTTTTTTGTTACAAACTCCTTTCTCAAGTTCATCTTTTCGACGCTAGAAGTTTGGAAAGACTTCCCCTTACTACAGTATACATACGATCTTGTTTTTTGAATGTTTTTCATATTATTATTTGTAATTCTTTTTTTGCCTTTCACTATAATGTACAAGTGGTTCATGCACAAAGCGTTCATGCACGCGCTCGAGTCCACGTACGTACGTAAATGACAATTTGAAAACATTTTGAAAATTTGCGAGATGGAAGGATCATGTTGCAAGATTTTCGACGAAAACTCGAACCATAAATGCGTATATACGCGTTCATTTGGCACATTCGTGTGAACGAAAGAAGCAGGAAACGGTTAGTTGAGAGTAATAAACAGATCATTTAAGTATTCATTTTCAACAAAGCTTTGGCAACTTGACTACGCGTAGCGTACGTTTTTACCATCCGCTGTGCGAGTAAAACTTTGAATATTTTTGAGAAATTAAAATTTCACGTACTCATTTGCGTGTTTATGGTTACGATTGTTTGTTCGTTCCGAGTGCTAGTAGCCGTTCGTTGTTTACTTTGAAAAACTCGTTGTCGAGTTGAAATTATCGAAAATTATTACTCTCACTGTTGCTTTCCCGTTTCTAGTCGGTTTGGTGTCTTGTCATGCAACGCTTAATGGTGTTACCGACGTGAAGCCGTACGATGAAAATTAGATTCATTTCATTAGCAAGTTGATACACGAGTGAAATATTTTGTACGATTCGAAAAGTGAGCTAACGAGTATTTGATACAATTTATATTACGACACGTTGAACGTGAGCGAAAGAAAGTAAAAGAAAAATAAATTTATTACGACGTATTTTGTCTCGCGAATCGATAAGTTTGATGTTTACTCGTGATATTACTATTTAAATACGGAAGAAACAAGGACGACGAATGGGAGAAATTTGAACAGAACGCTACAGAACAGAGGGAAACGAAATAGAATAGAATAGAATAGAACAGAATAGAATAGAATAGAACAGAACAGAACAGAACAGAACAGAACAGAATAAAATGGAATAGAACGGAGCGAAACGGAACAGAATGGAACGGAACGGAACGTAACGGAACGGAATGGAACGGAACGGAACGGAACGGAACGGAATAAAATGGGATGGGATGGAATGGGGAATGGAACGAAGTGGTATGAATCGGACCAGATCGGAGCAAGCTGTATCATGGGATAATAGTGAGTAGTATGGAGTAGATAGGAGGGATAGTACAGGTAGAAGTGAATCTCTCGAGGAGAAGGGATAGATAGAGAAGGATGCAAGCATAAGTAAGTACATGGATTGCCGATGATGGAAACGG